TGTCATATAATAAAACATAGAACCAAGAACACAAACAAAGCAAAAACTACAAAAAAAGTATGGCTTTATTATACAAAAAATCCGAAATTCCTCTGTCACGGGTGGGACACGTACAAATTTTTATATGAGAAGAAGCCTTTAGTGTGGTCCATATATAAAGATTAGTTATTAAAAAATATAAGAAGCCAGGTTGGGGTTAAATTCACTCACGTTTTATCTAGGGATGGTGCGTTTTATATAGAAAAATTGCTTAGCACCGTCAGCCAAAAAAAAAATATTAAAAATGAACGCGATTTCCTAGTCTTGAAATTTTCACTTTTAAATTTAATGGACTACAAAACTGCATACCTAAAAATTCTGAACAAAAAGTTTAAAATTTTCGGTCGTAATTGTTAAAGTTTGTTGAATTTTTATAATTTTTGTACGAAGTTTGAAATGTAGATTTATGTGGTTCTGGTTAGGCTTTTATAAAAAAAAATATAAACATTAGATTAACAAAGTAAAAAACCAAAACTGGACAAAATGTAACTAACTTTAATCAGCTGACCACTAGGGTATATAGATAATGGACGAGTCTGCGCATCCCCCGCCTCCTCCCCCCCTGCGTCCACCTCAACAAACAAATAAAGCTTATTAGCCCTGTAAACCTACCTCTGACCGCACATAGCGTCACGAGTGGGACATGCTTCCTTGTTGAATTATTCTTATCTAACTACGTGGAAACGACAATGGAAATGTGGTAAATATTTGCAATGAGTTTCTAACATTATGTAACAAACACGAAACACAACCTCAACTTCTGTAATTAAATATAACCACTTTTTGGTTTTTTTTTTTGTGACGGGTGGGACAAGACCAATACTTCTTAATAAAAACTCATAATATAGATAAAGCAGTCACTCAATTTTATTAAAAGTAGATGAGTTCTACTATATATTTTTCTTACCAAATACTTGACTTATGAATCGCAAATTATTTGACCGTGCATTCAACACAACCTACTTTAAACTCAATCAAAAAATGTACTTATAACTTATTTCAAAACGTAAAAAGGTAATAAAAATGCATTTAAAGCTTTAATTTGTTATTTTTTGGTTGATTCAAGATTTTTACAAATGTCTTATCCACATGTTTGTTAGTTTTATAAAGAAAATAATTTTTGCACTGAGGTTCACTTTCCCATGGAACCTCCCAGAAGTAACATCAAATCTGCCCCAGACTGGATAACGATGAGTCCAGCACCCTCATTCGCTTCGAATGTGCTCAACTCAGAATGATTGTGGGAATCATCGAGCCAGTGGGTATTTTGTGAGTTTTTGGTTTATCTTTAAGACCAAAGCTCGTTAAATATTTTCGATTTTTACCGCCTTAAAGAAGGAAATGCTAATTGGTTTTATTTACGGAGGACGATCTGCATTGAGCTAAAATGGTATCACAAGGTGTACTTTGGACCCAAGAGTAGAATGAACACCAGCCTTTTATTCCATATGGCTTTCATCATATAAAATTTATAGCTGAATAAAGCGCTGAAAGCCTGAATAGCGGTGTACGGCTGAAAAGCCTTTTGTTTAGTTCTAATATAAAAGCGTAGACCGTGATCCGGACTAACTGATTTATTCGGAATTATCTCAAATTTGATCCGATCAACTGCACCATTAATCCAGATTAGCGTTGCCGGCTGTTTATGATATATACTTGTCAGTTGATTAAGTTAGGTGACATTTTGACGAATTTTGGCTTTTTCCTTTTGTTAATTTGATGTTTAAAATTTTTTTTTATAAAAGTCTAGCATATTACATAACAAGCACCAAATAGGTAATTCTACATTGCAATCTTCGTACACAAATTATAAAAAGTCAGCAAACTTTAAAAATTGCACCCAAAAATTTTAAACTTTTTATTCAGTTTTGTAGCCCCTTAAATTTTTGAAAGTTAAATGGAAATTTGTAGACTCTAGAAAATCGCGTTGATTTTTTATATTTTTTTTTTGCTGACGGTTTTGTGCATTTTCTTCCATATAAAGTAGTATGCTCGACAACTTCTTTTATATGGAAGAAAATGCACAAGACCGTCGCCAAAAAAATTACACAGGTCCACAAAAAAATCGATGAAAGGTTATTTGACCAAACCTAGCATATCATATGTTTTTGGGGTCGCTGAACACGAATCTGAAGTCCGTTTTGCTCCATCGCGTCTATATTTTTTCCGAACCTCAAAAAACATCTCGGATTTTACGTGACAGAGAAATGAATGTGAAACATGAATTAATCAGATATGTGGCGCGAATGTCGAGATCAAGTTAGATGCCTTTAATTTAACGTTATTTGACAAGTTGATCCCTGTCTCGCAAGAGAGGCGGCAGCCATTACTTCAGTTGGCCCTGAGCCCTTCCTAGGAGTGGGTCACAACCAACACTCTAGAAGAGTGCTTGGCGATTTTAATCCCAAGGTGGGCAAGGAAGGGATCTTTGGCGCCACTGTCGGAAAACTTAGCCTCCACGACGAAACGTCCGATAACGGACTGAGGCTGATCGACTTCGCCGGAGCCCGAAACATGGTAATATGTAGTACTAGGTTCCAGCATAAGAACATCCACCAAGCTACATGGCTGTCTCCAGATCGAAGAACGAGAAACCAAATCGATCATGTTGTGATAGACGGAAGGCATGCTTCAAGCGTTTTGGACGTACGTCCAAGATAGCCAAGATACGCACCCGCCTCTGTGCAGCAAAAAATGTGCGCCCAAATATGCAAGGAAAGCTTAAAGTCGAAAAGCTGCAATCACAACAGACAGTCAGTGCTTTCGCTACTCGACTCTCACACCTGCTCTCAGAGAGCACTCTTCAACAAACCGACATATTCGAGCAGTGGAACCAATTTTCCCGCTCATTAAGTACCGCCGACGAAGAAGTAGTTGGGTTTCAGCGAGCCCGAAAGAACAACTGGTACGATGAGCTATGTCAAGAAGCCGCAGAGGTAAAAGATTCCGCCTACAGGGCCACGCCACTGAAGAAGGAAGCGAGACGTATTTGCCGCAATAAGAAGAGAGAGGCCGAAATACGTGAGTGCGAAGAGCTTGAGATGCTGACCGATAGGAAGAACGCCCGAAAATTCTACCAGAGGGTTAGGCGACTTACGAAGGGTTTCAAGACCGGGGCAAACTCCTGTAAGAACAACAATGGCGACCTAGTGACCGATGTCCAGAATATACCTAAATTGTGGAGGGAACACTTTTACAACCTACTGAATGGTAGCAGCGCTGAAAGTAGTGAAGAAGACAAACCCGAGTCCCCAGTCGATGATCATGGAGTAGCTGTCCCACCGCCTGACTATGCAGCGATTATGCGGCTGAAAAACAACAAAGCTGCTGAAGCTGACGGCCTGCCAGCCGAGCTATTCAAGTACGGCGGCGAGCTGATGAGGTGCATGCATCAGCTCGTATGCAGAATATGGTCAGATGAACGCATGCCCGACCACTAGAATTTAAGTGTGCTCTGCCCAATCCACAAGAAAGGCGACCCCGCCATACGCGCCAACTACCGCGGAATCAGCCTTCTAAGCATAGGTTATAGGTCTTATCGAGTGTATTGTGCGAAAGACTGAAGCCCACCGTCAACGAGCTGATTGGACCTTATCAATGTGGCTTTAGGCCTGGAAAATCCACCATAGATCAGGTTTTCACGCCAAATCTTGAAAAAGACCCGCGAGAATAGGATCGACACACACCATCTATTTGTCGATTTCAAAGCCGCGTTCGACAGCACGAAGAGAAGTTGCCTTTATGCCGCTATGTCTGAATTTGGTATCCCCGCGAAACTAATACTGTGTAAAATGACGTTGAGCAATACCACCAGCTCCGTCAGAATAGGGAAGGACCTCCCCGAGCCGTTTGATACCAAACGAGGTTTCAGACAAGGGGACTCCCTTTCGTGTGATTTCTTTAATCTGATGTTGGAGAAGATAATAAGAGCCGCAGAACTGCACCGCTCAGGCACAATACTTTAAAAGAGCGTACAATTGCTGGCGTATGCCGACGACATCGATATTATCGGTAAAAACAAGGGCTACGTCTGTTCTGCCTTCTCGGGATTGGATAGAGAAGCAAAGCGAATGGGTCTGGTGGTGAACGAGGACAAAACGAAGTATCTCCTGTCATCACACAAACAGTCAGAGCATACGCGTCTTGGCACCCACGTCACTGTTGACAGTTACAAGTTTGAAAAAGTAGACGACTTCGTTTATTTGGGAACCAGCATTAACATAAATAATAATGTCAGCCTTGAAATCCAACTGAGAATCACTCTTGCCAACAAGTGCTACTTTGGGCTGAGTAGGCAATTGAAAAATAAAGTCCTCTCTCGTCGTATAAAGATCACACTCTATAAGTTACTCATCATGCCTGTGCTGGTGTATGGCGCGGCAGCATGGACAATGAAAGCATCTGATGAGGCGGCTCTTGGAGTTTTCGAGAGAAAGATTCTGCGAAAGATTTACGGACTTTTACTCGTTGGTGATGGCGAATATCGCAGGCGATTTAACGATGAGCTGTATGAGCTTTCCAACGATATAGACATAGTGCAGCGAATTAAAATTCAGCGGCTCCGCTGGCTTGGCCATGTAGTTCGAATGGACAGAAACGCTCTGAAAATATTCAACGCGGGCCGCGATGCTGGTAACAGAGGAAGAGGAAGGCCTCCAGGTGGAGAAGGACTTGGCTTCACTTGGCATTTCCAATTGGCGGCAGTTAGCACAGAAGAGAAATGACTGGCGTGCTGTTTTGGACTCGGCCAAAATCGCTTAGGCGGTTACAGCGCCAATAAAGAAGAAGAAGATCTATAACTCATATTATTTGATTTAAGCGCTCAGCATTAAAAGATAAAGTAAAAACCTATAATAAGGCTAGATCAGCTATACCTACAAATGATATTCTAAATTTCACCTTCACCAAATTGGCGCTAAATCGCCCAATCTGGGCACTATGAAAGCATGATTTCTACTTACCCCAGTTGTTGGTGTTCCATTGCCTGTGGTAGTGCGCGCTTTGCCCCGTCCACGTTTTTCCCCACGAATCGGTTGTCCATCGGCACCATATACGATCTGAAATGTGCAGAAATATACAAATGTATTTTCGATAAACTCTAAAAGCAAATAACATGCAAAAAACTCTGTACAGTCGGTGGAAAAGCTGCGTGTCGTGAGTATGGGCTCTGGCCGACACTGCTTTATGGTTAATTATTAGGGTGGTCCAAATATGCAGGTGAAAAAGTAAAGTCGGAATTTTTATGCTCTCACCCCCTAGGATTGCTCCATACCGAAAAAAATATATACCTATTTTTTTATTTTGAAATCGAAAAATATTTAAAAATCAATATTTTTCTATCGGAAAACTCTGCTTATCTGCAGGAGATTTCCAATAATAATACCCAATTGTTTATTTAACCATTTTTCATCGCAAATGTAATTTATAGGTCCGCTAAAAACCCACAAAAACGCCGAAAAATGCAATGGGCGGACCAATAAAAATTCGTTAGTATTAAAAAAGGGTTAAATAAACAATAGTGTTAATTTATTGAAAGTCTCCTGAAGAGAACCAGGGTTTTCCTGAATTCTATACCATTCTACGAAAAGTTTTTCTCCTATATACAAATACATACATGGAAAACTTTGGGCGCTTTGAGCGACCTCTAAATATTTTTCGTTTTCAAAATAAAAAAATATGGGTATACTTTTTTTCTTTACAGAACAATCCTAGGGGGTGAGAGTATTACAATTCCGACTTAAATGTTTTTGGACCATCCTATTTATTACGCGTACTTCGCGTAACTTCGCATAAATTTCAAACTCATTCATTTTTTATGTAATTTGTATATATGTATTTTGAATGTACTCCATTACCCAGAAATTAGGACTTGTAAAAACTTAGCGATCTGTTGAGTTTAGATTTTGCCTCACATATTCGTAAGTGACATTTCTATTGCAGTGGTACCAGTGGTTGTGAGAAGTTATACCAAGTATGCATAATCAGACCTTTAGGCTATTGCCAACAACTTTTATGCGAACAAAAGCCGTCATCGATTCGCCACTTCTCTGCTCGCAATGTTTGATTTCCGGTCGCTTAACGTAAGCTTTTGCATATGAAAGCAACAACAAAGTAAGCTAGCAAGGATGAACGATAGCGAGTATGGTTGTACCAAATTGAGTTCGTTCGTTTCGCCACTTGCTGACTGTAGGCCAATCGATGACGGCTAAAGTGGCAATACGCTTATGTACAAGTGCACTCTGTTGTACCTACATAAAAATAAAAGTATAAAAAGTCTCTGCTCCTTAACGAAAACCCAACCGTTGCAAGCTGTTCTCAGATTATAGCTAACTGATTTGTAGCAAAAGTGTGCACAAAACTTAAAAGATTTCACCACCAAGCAGCGTGCTCAACTCTACTAAGGCGAAAAAATTGTGGCTGCTTTATTCCACGCATTGCTTGCTATAAAAGTGAAGAGCAGGTTCAGTACTCGAATGTGAATGCCATATTATAGGAGCGGAGACTCAAACCTACCTACACCATAATATGCACTTGTGCTAAAGCTGCTTTCACTTTAACGTTGGTTGTTTCCACATTTCCGCTTTCAGTTTCAAAAGAATTTAGGCGGAAACAAGCGTTCATTTATGTGGGAACAGTTTCTTTTCGTATGGATGTGTATTGAACATTATGCGCGATTGCTTCTTCATTCATACATATGGTAGAACATACACACAGCCGTAGAGATTTGTATGTACATACATATGTACATACCCTGCAGAGAAAAGCCGAACTATGAAATAAATTTCTAGTACAATATTAGTTCTTTATCACCTAAAACTATTAGTCTGATAGTGAATAGATGTGGTACTTTTACAAAACTATTTTATTTTACGTTACGGTACGTTAGTATTTAATGCAGTTAAAATATTCAGCAATTCAGCTATGAAGAATTGTGCAGATTCTGGCATTGCATATTTCACGGGGCAATACTTTGTTACCAGCTTATGAGATGGTAACAAAAGCTCTGATCCAATACTTTTCGTGAAAAATCCTGTAAAACTGTCAAACAGCAAAATTACTCTCTGAAGTGAGAGTTAAAAGTGAGTAACAACAAAAAGTACGGGAACAAAAAAAAAAACATTTTTCCTGTAAAAACGTCAACCAGTGATTGCTTGACATTTTTCATGATTTTACCAGGATTTTAGAGTACGGAAACATTTTTCCTGCAACTTCCTGCAAGTTCGTGTAAAATCCTGTAAGTTCATGGAGTACTGGATCAGAGCTAAAATTTACCGGTTACAAGAGTACAGAGAATGCGAAAAGGGTTTACAAATTTCCAGAAACTTTATTTACCGGTTACAAACTTTTTATTACCAGCGCAGAATAGACTTGTTAGACACCGCAATGTTAAATTCGCCAGTTGCTAGCATGCAAAATATGTGGAAATAACCGCAAGTTACGATTCTAAATTATTTAAGTAGCTGCTAGACGTGGGAAGTGCAAGCCCTTTTGAAAATTCTGTGCATTTCCAAAAGTGATTGCAGGAGCAGTTACACCTTGCATGTAAAGTGACTTTAGAAAGCAGTTTCCGATATGTAGTACCTAGACACTTTTGGCTTGTTTTCACGGTGAATGCAGAAATTTTCACTTTCAACTGTGTTGCCTAATGCTTTGTTGCTGTGTTGTCTAATGCTTTAGTACTTAACTTATGAACTATCATATTAGGAGAATAAATTAATTACAACTATTTTTATACAAATTCGTCAAAAATCACATCAGACGGCAACACTCGATTGGTTCGACAGCACTTCCAGCAAAAGGAAAATTTCCAGTGCAGCACGAGCAAATTCAAATTATTTCTCGAAAGCGATTTGCGTAATTTCAGTGGCATTTACACCTTGCAATTTTTATTTCCGAAAATGTTTTCTGCAAATCTGCATATAGGGCTTTCTAATAAAATTTCAATTTATGTATTAGGGCGGGTCAATTTGCATGGCAAATTTTTTCGACTATAAGCGTATAGTTTAGGAAGATTCTACGTGTAATTCTAATAAAATTTGCCAAAGAAATCATTAGTCTAAAATAAATTTGGAGTTTGCCAAATTGCAAAAATAGGTTTCTTTTACTAAGCATTTTGCTGTAGTGTCATAAAGAAGTACTTAAATGAGTTTTTTTGTACAGAAATATAAAGAGTTGGAAAATACCCTTTTACTGATACTTTATAACCAGTGATCGGACTTAAAAAAAAAATTTGTGGTAGAATCTAGAAAAAATGTGGTAGATCTCAGGTTTTGTTTCAAACTTTTCACAAAAATTTAAAAAATTCTGCAGGGTTTCACCTAAATTCCAAAAATTTAATTTGAATCTAAAAAAAAAAAATGAATTTTAGTATAATATAATGCAAGATTGAATTTGCTAACAATTGCGTTAAGTTTTGCCAATTTTTTTCCTTGACAGTGTAAAGCAGTTCCTTCCATATCAAGATATTTTTCGAACATATTTTGAAAGATTTATGCAACCTTGCGGAGTGCTTCCAGCTTTCCTTTTTATCGCATCACGATGAGGCACAATGCGACAAATGTGGCACGTTCCAGGAACAGCTACTTGGGATTTGCCGATTTTGACAATTCTCAAGTAAAAGTAATAAACGCTTTAGAAACTTTAGATGCACTGAAATTTGCTAATACTTTCACAAAAATCGCCGGTTTTTTAACATTTTCGTTATTAACATCCTCGTTAGCAGTTCTTGCAATTAGTCTTTCGAAAGACAGTAAAGAGCTTTCAAGATAATTGCCAAAATTGAAAGACAGTTGCCAGAATTGTCATTATATTTATCTGACACTATTTATTTGAAATTTTGTCTTTACAAATTTGTAGAATATAGCCAAATTACAGAACATAAAGCAAGAAAGCTGTTTTATTAATTCACATGCATATTGCGCCATGTACCGTCACCAAACTTTAAGTGTAATAAGTACATTGATGTATGAAGCTCACCAAAATAACGCGGCGTCAACGCTGAGCGGTTGGAAAATCTGATTCTGACAGGGCGTTAGGAAGTGAAGTTGGCTGCAGAAAACAGCGAAACGGTAATTTTCGTGTTCCACACAAACAAACCTATGCTTATTGTTCTTGGGTTTTCTGCATTTGAGGTAGCGTTGATGCTTTTGTTTAGGTATGGCACTTCGGCGTTAGCGCTAGGCGTCAGAAAACGCTCCACCCAACGCTTTTGTTTAAGTATTGTAGTAACTTGCACCGCAGCCACATTTTTAATTTTTTCTTTATTTATACTTTGTATAAATCAGATAATTTTACAACAAAAAAACAAGTAAAAAAGTCTAAGTTCGGGTGGAGCCGAACATTAAATACCCGGCGCAAGTATTAAATATATGTTTTTTCACCTTTCCGAAAGCTACCGCTAGATGGTAAGCCGGGTGTATCAATTTTGAGTAAATTAGCGCCCTTAAATTTCGAAATATTGCAGTTTCAAGCATTTCTGAAACTTACCGTTATATGAAAAGCGGCCGTAATTTTAGTCCGATTTCAATAATTTTCAACGTTTTGATTTTATGTGACAAGCACAATAAAAATACCTAGTTTGGTACAAATTGATTACCGATATACATATATGTGATCATAAGTGGGCGGTGCCACGCCCATTTTCCAAACTTTTACTATAAACGTATTTCTTGGTAAAGAATTGTTGCAAGCATCAATTTTGAATAAATTAGCTTTAATATTTACTGATTTATCGAAGATTTTGTATTTCTCTAAATTTTCGGCCATTTAGTATGCTGTACCAAGGCCAACAACTGTGCCAGGTTTGGAAGAAATTGGTGCAGCGGTTACCAAGATATGCACATGTAACCATAAGTGGGCGTGCCTACGCCCATTCTCCAAAAATTTATAATACTCAGATTTTTCGTCTGAAAATTATTGTTAATATCAATTTTGAGTGAATAATCTTCAGTACTTACTAAAATATCGCAGTTTTCGTAATTCCGAAAATTACCGTTATATGGGATATGGGCGTGGTTATTGTCCGATTTTTTTAAATTTCGGCCGTTAGATATACACA